GGCAGAGCAACAAGGGCCGCCACAAGCTGACCCCGCCATGGGAAGGGCCGTACATCATCGCCCAAGTACTGAAGCCCAGAACCTACAAGCTGGCCAACGAGAAGGGCGAAATCTTCACCAACGCTTGGAACATAGAACAGCTATGTCGTTTCTACCCTTAAGTTTCCAAACGTTGTTTACATTGTTTCTCAGAATACAATAAAGAAGCGTTCTTTAGTTGTTACAATCTTTCGAGGACCCCCCTTAATAGGCAACTCGATTGTATGGAACCTAAGGACCAAAAGTTTGTCTCAAAGGCAAAAGGCCGGCTGAGCCGTGAGAACAGCCTACGCCTCTGGGCTACGGCAGCTCCCTCGCCACCGTTTCACCCAAGAGACAGCTTAGGCTCCAAGGAAGTTCTTTGCAAAGAGCTTGTCTATCGATAGGGGCTCGATGTCACAATAACGCTACAAGAGAGACTCGGCTCTGCCTCTGCAGAGCCGAGCCTCCCTCGGGGGCTAAAAAGGGGGGAACCCCCTAAGTCCCAAACGCCGTTTCTTAACCGTCTTTCGAAAATTTCCACGCCAAACTCTCTCGCGCTCCGGCAGGACCGTCGCAAGAAACCTAAGGACCAAAAGCGTGTCCTAAGGCCAAAGGGCCAGTCGAGCCGTGAGAACAGCCTACGCCCCTCGGGCTACGGCAACTCCCTCGCCACCCTTCGCCAAGGGATGGCTTAGGCTCCGAGGAAGTTCTTTGCGGGTATCCAAGAACGAGACAGGGGGCACATGCTCGGAAATGGAATAGGAAAGTGGTTAAAAAACACACATATGCAAGTACTTTAAAAGGCCTCGACGGCCACAAAACGTCACGATGTGACAATTAAACCAATCCGTTTACATGGCCCCTGTTGGCCCAGGTCAAAGCTCAGGGATCGGCGGCTGGCGCGGGAGGGACCACCTCTTCTTCAAACAAGCGGCCAGCCTTTCACCTGCAGCGCCCCCGCCTCCATCGGCCTCGCGACCTGCGTCGGCCTCCTCGTCATCTTCCGGCAAGAGAGATGTAGCCGTCGTTGATGTACCTTGAGGTTGATGGCGTAGTGCGAGAGAGACGACGAGCCAGCCGGCGGCACGCTTGACACCCATGTGCAATGCCCCGGAGCCTCTCGTGGACGCCAGCGGCCAACACAAACCAGAATCAATCGGTGGCTCCCAAGGAGCTGGGTGATTGGACCCCCTCGACCTCCAGAGCCTTGCAGGCGGTACGGGCGGCGCTGCGCAGAGCCTCATGCTCTTGGACCTCAATGTTCAGCGCCCATTATGACATGACGGAGGCCTCACCAACAAGGTACCTCGGGAGGCCTCTTTCTCCGACCTACACCACGACAAAGAGTTAGGGGTCGAACGTGAAACCAGAGCAAAAAACGCAGAACAAGGAGCGCGGTTCACCGGCGGAACTTACCCTCGGCTTTGTTCTTCCAGCTAAAGCCTCGACTCGAGAGGCCTCGGCCGCCTTTGGTAGCCTCTCCAAAGCGACTTTCGTCACCGATGTTCACTCTGCTCAGTGCTGCTGCGGGCCGCCTCGGCCACCCTGTGATGGCCTTGGCAGAGGCCGCTGCTTCTGGGGCCTCGACTTGAGGGAATCCCGCCTCCTCCTCCAGCTCCTTGATCTTCGCCACCAAAGGCGGGCCTCAGACCGCCCTTAGCCATGGACACCTCGGTCTTGTGTCAACACAACGGCTGCGGAGGTCCTCCACTTCAGCACTCCGCACTAACAAGAGCTCCTGGGCATCGGCAAGCAGGCCCTTTTGCCACCGGAGCTGCTCCCAGACGCCCCTCTCCCTTCGTAGGAACAACGATTTCCCAAGGGACCAGGTCTCGAGCTCCTGAAATAGGCAAAGACGTACGTCAAACACCGCAAGGGGGGCTCGGAGAAAAAACAACGCGACACGAGAAAGGGAAGTGCGTACTGGTAACACCGGCAGTCCCCTTTGCATAACGTAGACATCATTGTCCACCTCATCGATCGCACCGCCAGTTCATGGTATTGCTCGAGGGTGTCCTAGCGCCCCCCTCGGTGACGTCCTCAAGGGCAAACATAGGCTCCCCCTCAGGGTCGGCCCGGTTTCCCCATACAACATGCGGGCTATCCCACCCACCAGGGGGCTCGGGTCGGACTCGACAAGGACCGAACTCCCCTCAGCAGGAGTCGGGACCAGCCCGCTCACAGTCTTGGCTGCCTCGGCGTCGCCGCCTCCTTCCCACGGGAAGAATCCTCGACGAGATCATCTCGAACCAGGGCGGTGCCGGCCCGCCCCGCCTCTCGTCCCGACCGCCTTGGCCTCAACAGCTCTCCCGGGGCTCGGCCTCTACCATCTCAACCTCGGTGGCGGCGCCACCGCCTCGCCTCGAAGCCTTGGGGGCTCTCCAGCCTCACCCCGATGGCCTCAAAGCAGTGGTGGACGCCTCGGCCTCATTCGCCCCAAGACCCACGACTGCTCGGGCGTGGACTCGCCCTCCCCGCTGCTTGACGTGGCCACCTCAGCCCTTTCCTTCAAGAAATCTCGGGCTCCTCCGGCCGACTTCTTCCTGCTTGCGCCACGCCTTGGAGGCATGCCGCAGACGGCAGCGCCAGGCTTTTACCACCCGATGAGCGGTGGAGCTGGTGCTCACTTTGAGCGCCTTATGGGGCGCCAAGGCAGTTCCTCCACCCGGCGCTTCTGGCTGGAAACGAAGATGCTCCTAAAGGTCAGCGTACGACCAGGGGGCAAGCAGGAAATACTACAAACTCCGCCAAAAAATACACTTACCGCGAACGAGGACACAACCGCTTCTGGACAGCATCCCTCTTCTGCAATGGCGGCGGTGGCGGCGGTGGCACGGCTTCTGTATCCGCCGGTACCGGCTGGTCTCCGCTGGACCCCGGCACCCCCTCGACCGTCCGCGGAGATAGTTGAGCCACCCCTGGCGTCGCTTGTTCCACCTCCTCTGTCGATCCCAACGGGTTGACAGCACGCGTCTCGGGCGTGTCGCCGTCGACAACAAGACGGACGTCTACCAGAGACACCCCGGGCGCCACCTCCCCAACGTCGGGGAGGTGGTCCAGGGTACCCTTCCCTTCCTCGACCTCGCCATCGTCGCCCTAGGAATCCGACACCGATAATGAGGGAGACGACTCCAACGGGAGATCGTCGAGCCTCTGCTGCCGGGCGGCGCGTCCGGCCCAAATTTTGCGCTCAAGGGTCCTCTTCGTGCGCCTTGCCACCTTGGCGTCTTTCTTCTTCTTCGCTCCTCGGCGACGCCTATTCACGGCTTCGCGCGCTGGCGGCCTCAGAAACAAAGGGCGGGAGCTTCGCGACGCCCCTTATCCCCCGAGAACGACAAAATAAGGCAATGGCGAAAAAAAGCAATGAGCAAGAAGGCCACGAAGGCCTCGGCAACACCCAACTTACGGGAAATGTACCGCCGACGACGGCGATCGAACGGCATCAAGCCATCAATCTTGGTTTCCATCCACCGCCTCCCTTACCCGACGAGGATCTCCTCATCAAGCAGGGCGGCGGACATCTTGATGCCTTCGATCGGATCGCTCGGGGTCATCTCGAGCAGCGCCGCCACCGAGCCATCAGCAAATAACACCCGGCGGTGAAAAGCCGCCACGACCACGCCGTCGTAAGGCCGCGATCACGCAGCTTCCCCAGGGGCCCTCGAGCGGGCGGTTCCGCCTTAGGGCTGATCGGGCTTGATGACGCCAGTACTTACACTCTCCCGACCGACTCTCCACAACCCGCCCGCATATAAGGGGAAGCCCGCCGTCGCCAAGTTTACGGAGGTAGAATCAGCTATCATACCAACGAGGGTTGGATGATGCCACCGGCTGGGATGTAGTGGTGCTCGCAGAGTGCTGGGCGGTCTTGGCGCTTTGAAAGGGTGCAATCCACTGCCCCCCTCGCGCCTTCTTCGAGCCCCCTTCGCTCTCGCCGACTTGGTGGTAAAACCGCCAAACAAATGGAGCCACAGCCCCAAAGGGGAGCGATCCCAGTACCCTCGCAAACCGCAAGGCGAAGATGGCCACTGTGCGATGGAGTTGGGGCTGAAGTTGTGGAGCTCCACACCGTAGTAGTCTTGGGGGAGCGCCCGCATGAACTGGCGGTCACCCGGCAAGCCAAGGCCTCGCTCGTGGAAGATGACGAAGCTCACCACGTAGCCATCACGTGGCCTCGGTTCCAACTCATTCCTCGGAGCAATCCACTCCGGCTCATCAGGATCGGTGATCGGGCGGAGGAGACCGGCGTCCACCAAATGATCGCAGCTTCTCCATGGTGACGCTGCAGACCGCTCCCGTGGATCCGCCGGAGGATGACAGACCGCCACCATTGCGTGGTGGAGGACGCCGCCACGGTGGTAAATCTCTCTCTCTTTCAATCGATCTCTCTCGCCTTTCTTCTCCCCGGCGCTTTATGCTCTCAAAGAACGGCTTGGAGGCGGCGAAAAGCAAATGCGTAAGGTAAGGAGGGAGGGCGAGGCTCTTCATGACGATTTGTGCAGGGGTAAGACGAAACCTCCGGGCGAAGAAATCGGGGAAGTTTCCCTCAGATCCGGCGCATATAATCCAGATCCGATCTCTCCTGCCGAAGATGATGCTTGACCCCAAGCAGGTGCATGCGGAAACCGTTGATGAATGACATTGTAGTCTTCCCAGGTTGTTGAAGTCAGTGGCAGACCTGTCCACTGAATGAGCACCTGTGGAATAGCGACATTACCGTGCTTGACCAATCGGCGCTCAAGTACCTTCCCAGGCAGGGCCGCTGTGGCCTCAATATCAGTGGTAAATGGAAGCTTAGAAAAAACTGGTGTATAAGCTACAACAAAAGGTTTAAGTTGTGAAACATGAAACACATCATGAATCTTACTGTCGTCTGGAAGCTTCAGGCAATAGGCCACCCGCCCAATACGTTCAGTAACAAGATAGGGCCCGAAATACTTATAGGACAGTTTAGGGAATGGTCGATTTACCACAAAACTCTATGTGTACAGTTGCAGCTTCAAGAGAACTTGGTCACCCACTTGGAACTCAATGTCAGTACGATGTTTGTCAGCCATCACCTCGATTCTGTTCTGTGCCCGTGCCAAATTCTCCTTGAGGGCCTTCAAATGGAGTTCCCTATTCTTTACTAGTTCAACTATAGTGACTGGTGTTGTCTGTTGTATAATAGGAGCAGCTCCAACCTTTGGATCATAGCCATATAGAGCCTTGAATGAAGAACATTCAAGAGAAGTATGGTAAGTAGAATTATACCATAGTTGTGCCAAAGATATCCAAGAGTGCTAGGTTTTGGGTGAGTCTTGGACAGCACACTGCAGGTACAGTTCAAGACATTGATTGACTCTCTCAGTCTATCCATCACTCTATGGATGGTAAGTAGTGCTAAGCTGTAGGTTGACTCTGTAAAGCTTGAAGAGTTCCTTCTAAAAGGCACTAACAAATATTGTGTCTCGATCAGATACAATGGAGTTTGGAAGACCATGAAGCTTGACAATGTTGTCCATGAAAAGCTGAGCTATGGCAGAAGCTGTGTATGGATGTTTAACTGCCACAAAATGAGCAAATTTGGTAAGTTTGTCCACTACTACCATGATCACACTGTAGCCATTGGATTTAGGTAGGCTTTCTATGAAATCCATAGATATGTCCATCCACACCCCTTCAGGAATTGGTAGAGGCTGTAGTAGTCCAGGTGGGGAGTGATTAGGATGCTTCGCTTGCTGACAGACAGAGCACTGCTTAACAAAATCTTCCACAGCCATCTTCATTCCCTTCCAAGCAAAGTGAGTCTTGAGTCTCTGGTATGTTGCTTTAGTACCTAAGTGACCCCCAATAGCGCTGGAATGGAAAGCTGCTATAATCTTTGTCTGTAAGGCTGAGTTTTGGGCAATCCAGAGCTTGTTCTTGTACCTGATGACACCATTGTCCAAGCTGTAACCTGCCATATCAGGGCTTTGGATAGCTAGTTGGGTCAGCAGCTTCTGAGCCCTTGGATCAGTTGTATAAGAATGAAATACTTCCTGCAACCAATCAGGCTTAACCATAGAAACAGCCTGTATAAGGTGTGGAGGTGAGCCACCCTGGATAGTGCATCTGCTGCCAAGTTGTCCTTTCCTTTCTTATAAACAATTCTGAACTATAGCCCCACCAATCTTGTCATGGCCTTCCTTTGCATATCAGAATGCAGGTTTTGTTCCTAGAGATAAGCTAAGGACTTGTGGTCTGTCAAAATAATAAATTCTTGTCTTTGTAGATAGTGTCTCTATCTTTCCACTGCCATAATCAATGCCAAGAACTCTTTCTCATAAATAGAGAGATGTTTGTGCTTTTCACCCCAAGGCTTTGCTAAGAAAAGCAATGGGTTGTCCCTTTTGCATCAAGACTGCCCCAATACCATCTGCACAAGCATCTGTTTCCACAGTGAATGGTTCCTAGAAATTGGGTAGGGTGAGGACTGGGGTGTGGGACATAGCAATCTTTAGTTCATCAAATGTTGTCTGTGCTTTTGGATTCCACTGGAACTGCTTGTTCCTTAATAGATTGGTCAGTGGTTTTGCAATGATGCCATAACCCTTCACAAACTTCCTATAATATCCTGTTAACCCTAGAAAGGCTCTTAGTTCTATAAAAGTTGTTGGTGTGGGCTAGTGAACCATAGCTGCTGTCTTGTAGGGATCAGTGACTACCCCATCAACAGATATAATGTGCCCCAAGTATTCCAACTGGCTTTGAGCAAAGGAACATTTGGACTGCTTCAAATAAAGCTGATTGGCCAACAGTGTCTGGAGAACCAGCTGTAAATGTGTTTGGTGTTCTTGTACTGATTTGCTATATATGAGAATATCATCTAAGAACACTAGGACAAATTTCCTCAGAAAAGGTTGAAGGACTTAGTTCATGATGCACTGGAAAGTAGCTGGTGCATTAGTGAGCCCAAATGGCATTACCTTGAACTGGTAATGGCCCTGAATATACCACTGTAAGTTCTTTACTTTGGCTATAGTAGTCAACATGTCTCCATTAGCCAATCTGACTGTCCTTGTTGGGATTGTTACAGTAGCGAACCTGGCCAATTTCACAAAGTTGGAACTGATGAAACTATGTGAACTGCTTGAATCCAATAAGGTAAGCATCACTTTATCTTGCACAAGGGCTTTGAGCTTCATAGAATTATCAGTATCCATACTAGAGAGTGCATTCAGAGATAAGTGACAGAAATCTTGTGCAAGAGTATCTTCAATAGCTAGCTGATTCAGCATATCTTCTGTAATTTCCTCTTTGTTTGTGTCTAGATCATTGATAACCAATGCATGAACTTGAGCCTTGTGATGTTTGGGGCAATTCCCTTGGTGGCCAAGTTCAAACTTATCACCACAAGCGAAACACAGATTGTTAGCACGCCTGTAATCCCTCAACTGCCTAAGTCTTTGTAGATTGGCATTGTTTGTCTGAGGACTAGGAGTGTCCTGCTTCTGAAACTGTTGCTTGGGAGCAGCAGTGTTCCTGTTATATTTGTCCTTGGTTCTCTCTTGGGTTCTTTGCTGGATCTTGGCAATTAGAGTTGCCCTGTCAACTGTGAGTGGAACATGGGGCTCTACAGCTGCTCTGATGTCATCCTTGAGACCAGCTACATAAGCTGAAGCAAAGAAAACCTCATCATAATGGCTGTTGTGCATGGTAATGTTATACTGCAATGCCTAAAACGCCAAAGTGTACTCTTCCACTGTACCACTTTGCTTGAGGGCTAGCAGATCAGTGATGGCTGTACGAAAATCATCTATACCAAACTTGGACAGAACGACTGAACAAAATGCAGTCCAAGAGGGCCAAGTGCGACCATGTTTGTAGGCTTGCCACCATTTGGTGGCATTATCCTGTAAGTGCATTGTAGCATATGTGACCTTCATCTCCTCTTCGGTCTTGTAGATTTTGAAGTAGTTATCACAGTTGTCCAGCCATATCTTGGGATGGTTGCCATCAAAAGTTGGGAATTGCATCTTGGGAAGTGCATGGTGAGGCGTGGAATCCTTGTGGTGATGTTGTTGTCTGTTGGATGGCTTAGTCTTCACTACATAGTCTTTGTTAGCAAATATGTTGTCAAAATGTGCCTCTTCCGCAGAGCTCAGAGAAGCATTCTCTGAATGATGCATTGCAGCCTCACTCTCCATCTGACGTAATGTTAGAGAAGCCACTGTTTGTCCATTGGCCTGTACCTGCTTGGATATGAGTTTCTATTCTGCCTTTGTTTCATCCACACTTTGCTTCAACTGCTGTTGGATCAGACTGATATCATTCATTTGTTTGAACACGAGGTCGAAATTTTCCATGACTTGCTCCCAGCGAACTCTTTTCATCATCCATGTTGGTCGACATGGCGTCAACGATGAACTTGGTCTGAACCGAAGGCTTAGGAGGAGCTGTCGTGAAGAAGTTGAGATACAATGGACTGACTAGTGTAGTAACAGGTTTGGCCTCTGCCTCCCCAACAATCTACCACACCAAAACTGCAGACTACGCCTGGACGCACGGCACCACCAAGGAATTTTATGCGAGAACCTGTCCCACAACCCAAGTGTGTGAGCGCGTCCCCGCCAACACCACCGGAACCCAATCGAGTAAGAATGCTATGGAATTTTACATGGGAACTTGTCCCGCAACCCTCGCAGTCCTCGAATGAGTGCCAAAGGAACTCGTATCCGCCGCCGACCCCAAATCGATGCCGAACCCCAGCCGAGGAAAGAGGACGTAGAATTTGGTGGAGTGGTAGGTGGGAATTTGTTGTGTTGTGGATGGGTGGAGGTGGAAATTGCAGAGCTCAGGTGGAGTAGTGCCACTGTCGGAGCTGACCTAGTTCAACCCAAAGGAGGGACCTCTGGTTCCTTCCGTCGAACACCTCCAGGGCGTTAACGGAGATCCCCTGCCCACCGGAATTACGAACTGCAGATCAAGGCGCCTGGTCGTGTTTCGTACCAAGATGGACTGAGCAACTGCGGGGAGGTGGGTTGAAGGTAGTAGGTTACCGGATGGTAGGAGTGTCGGCGCCGCTGCGAGGCAGCCGTCGTCGGATAACTAGCGTGAAGAAGAGCTGCGGTCGCCTGTCGCCCCCCACGCCGAGGATACACCGTCTCTGATACCAACTGTCATGCCCCGTTGCCGCCGGCCAGCGCCGCCGACGTGAGGAGTACAGGAAGCACACGAGAGACGAGGAAACGGGAAGAGGAACCTTCCTCTTTCACCGAGTTTAGATTTCAGAAATGCAATGAGTCTTACAGCGATACGACGCAGGCTTAAAACACACCCCTTGGCCTATGGCCCACATGTCATACTCTGCCTATTACATAACTGCTAGAATACGTCTTCTGGCTTCCTTAGCGACTTCTCTTGGTTTACGTCTTCTTCAGCTCAACTGTGTACCAGGTCTGACAGTCGATGGGCTAATAGTGGATGAATATGAGGGGTGAAACATGAGGAAAATGGGAGGCTAGCTAGGTGGTAGGTAGGTTAAAGAGATATGTTTAGGTGCCTTAATATATGTTGTATATAAAAAAGATAGAGGTCACATCAGGCTTTAGGAATCAGAGATTTAATTTAGGAACATTAGGATTGGTGGAATAGTCCATTGTATTGCTCAGTTTTGTAGACAGATTATATAGGAGTACATTGCTCAGGGGGTAAGATGGGGCCTCTCCTAGAGATAAGGCAAGCTGGAAATACATAGTCCTAATCTGCCATAGGTGAAGATATCCAGCTATATTGTATCTAACAGTTAACAAGAGCACATTTTATTTAATTAGTGAACTATATGACATGAATAACCGAAAAAGTATGTTTTGTAGATGACCCATATTCTTGGTAGAGAAGTGTTCAGAAGTACCTTCTTTTTTAAAAGGGCAAGTGCCTCATCTTGTTGCAGTTCTTGGAGTTGGTGTGTGTTCATGGATCCTCCCGAACAATATCTCGCAACACTGTATTCTCTTGTGGTGACTATGATCCGTTTAGCTTCTGCCAATGGATCTCGAATCAAGTTCCATTCTTCAGTAGATTGTAGGTCATCGAGAACAATGAGACAATCCTTATGCTTTCCTAGAAGCTGGATTAACTCTTTTCTTAAGTCATCCTACCTCATTGTTGCTAGGTTTGTCCTTTCCTGGTGGACTTTTTTTAGGCTGTGTTTAGTTCGCGAAATAAAAATTTTAGATGTCACATCGGATGTTTTGGGATGTCGGATACTAATAAAAAAAACTAATTACATAGCGTGTCTGGAAACTGCGAGACGAATTTATTAAGCCTAATTAATCCATCATGGACTAATTAGTCTTAAAACATTCATCTCGCGATTTCCAATCAAACTGTGCAATTAGTTTTTTTTCGTCTATATTTAATACTCCATACATGTATCGCAAGATTCGATATGATAGTTTGTGGTGAAAATTTTTGGAAACCAAACCAGGCCTTAAGTTTTGTTTCACTTGCTGCAGTAGGATCGTTTGTCAGTAGTTGCAAAACTAAGGTTCTCATGAGCACTTCAGGGTTGAAAGGACGCAGAGCAGGGACCCAAGCACGCTTCCAGCCACCAAGTTGTTCGGTTCGGTAGATACTTCGGACAAGAGTTGTTTTCCCAAGGCCTCCCATTCCCCATATGGATATAACTTTACATCCTTGTTTGTCCGTAGGTTTACCAATCAAATCAATCACTTTGGATTTCTCTGTCTTCCGCTCAACAAGCACATCATCATCTAGTGCTATTGTCCTAGTGCGATGGAACTTTTTTCTAGGCGTTGCAGTTGCGGTAGTGCGATCAAACTTTTTTCTAGGCGTTGCAGTTGAGGTAGTGCGATTATTTCCACCTGATGTACTGTTTGGTTGCTGATATTCTTCCTGTGTCTCACTACTAGGCGTCGCTGGGTCACTGATGGGCTCATGCACCGACAAAGAAATAACCTGATGAACATAAACATTTGTTTCAGAAATTTATTCACTACTGGTCTATAGAATTTGACATTGAGCTACCCATCTTAATGATATTGTCATCCACATGACACTTTCAGTAAAAAATATTGACATGCCCACAAAAGTATCTAATTTTGAATATCCCCAACAAGACTTCCACAGTAAATTTTTCAATGAGTGTAATGAATTATGTCATTGGGAGCATGTATACAATAGATCTGATAATACATTCTTTTCAATGTTTGTTAGATATTCTTTAAGGTAACTACAAGGATCGGCTCATCTAAAACATAAACCTGACAAAACATTTGGAATATAATAAAATGTAGCCAGGAATCACTTGCACATAGGATTTTTAAAGACAACCAAAATCAATTTTTAGAGGCAGTTTTTGAAATCTTTACTATGATATTGATTACAAAAATCAATTTTCATTGGCGGTTTGATAAGTCATCCGCCCCTAAAAATGATTTCCATTAAAAATAAGAAAAAAGATTTTTATTAATTGAATATTTTGGCTTCTAAATGATCTTAAATGGAGAAATTTTCAGCTACGAGGTTTTAGGTCTCGTCGACCACTACAACTAATGTATAGGGTGTATTTCCATCCGATGTCATTTGAAAATTTCCAAATTTTAAATTTAAAAATCTAAGAACTTAATATCATATATCTGGGCTCTTAAACGCCAAAAGGTATCCAACTACAAAATTTTAGATATCATCGTTCTCTACAATTTTCATATAAATTTTGTCTTCATCTAACTACATTTAAATAAGTTATGAATTTATTTATTCTGTGACTATTTTTAAGGACGGTTGCTTAGTCAACCGCCCTTGTTAACTATGATAAAACCCATTAACTATGATGAATCAAGGAAATGAGGAATGAAATAATAACCATAGTTGTCTTATATGATTGAGTTGTGTCCTGTGCTACCTTCTTGGGATTTTCAATGGCGATCAACCGGCGGTGGTCCAAATTTGATTTTCCCTCCCCTAAATCAGCAGGCTTTGCTTCGTTTCTTTCAAAACTCGGTACACTGGCAGTATTGGTCCACTCCTCTGAGTTCTTTTGTCAGAAATGGAATAAAACAGCAACCTGAGTCGTGCTTGGAAAGGAAAAATAATAAGTTAAGATGTTATTCGGAGAATTACCTTCTTATGGAACACATATAGGGGGTGTTTGGGACTGCTCCACAAACTCTGCTCCACAAACTCCACCGTGGAGCAGCTCCACAAAAAACTGGAGTTTGTGGAGTACCTCTTTAGGTGCTCTCATAACTCCACCCTTTTTTCTGGAGCAGAGTGCGTGGAGCTGAAACCATTTGGCTAAAAAACGTGGAGCGAAGCTGAAAAACGTGGAGCGGAGCAGTCCCAAACACGCCCATAGTGTTTGGTCATACGGCCGCTGCTTAAGCTCGGACATTTGGTATGGTTGCTCTGTGCATAAGCTTGCAACCTCAACATGCTGAGTCGACACTACGATTCTGCTCTGTTTCTTGTTGTCAGGGAAGTACCTTCTGATGCATTGCCACTCTTCTATTGTGCGTAGGTCATTTATTACAATTAGATAGCTATTGCTACTCAACTGTGCTGTAAACGTATGCACTAAATCACTTTCATTCATCTTCTCCATCTTTAGAAGAACACTAGCCCCAACATTTGTTACTTCTTCCCCTCCTTGAGGCTTCTCAAGAAAATTTTCAAAGAATTGCCTTACCATGCTATGAATAAACTCTTTTGGATTGAAAGGGTGAATCAGTCTAACCCATGCCCTGATTCCATACACTGATGTCAATCTTGGATCACCATAAACCTCATGGATGGCAACCGTCTTCCCAGGATCACCGGTTGTTCCCAACACAGCCATCACCCTAAGGTCGACCTCCTTGCTAGTGATCAGCTGGAGGAGGTCTGCCTGGGATTTTTTCTGCTCCACGACAGAAAACATGGCTTGATTTATGCCAGGCATTGCTGCACCATCAGAGGCAGCCTGCTCCGCCGCACCGGCAGGCTTGGAGCTTGAGCCATCCTTGATGAGGCGGTAGCGCAGGTTTCTGTTGCTTACATCCTCGACCTTGGCCCTTAGCTTCTTCACCTCCTTGGCGATGCGACGTCGATCACACAGCTTACGGGGGATGCACCCCCAGATTGGTTTCTTCCCAGTGTGGATGACGAAATCCATGAGACTGTCCTCCACGTTGTAGGCCAGGTCACGGACCTGCGTCACCCAGGTTGTGAGCACCTGGCTCTGGCTTCGCTCCTCATCGGCTGTCATCAGGAAGGACTGCATCATCTGCAGCTCGTCCGTGATAAAGACCACGTCGTCCTCGACGCCGAGCTGCAAGGCCACCTCCTCTGCGGCCTGGGACTTGGCATAGCTGAGTGCTCCGCCCAGCACAGCCTTCCCCAAGCTCATCGCCGTCGCCTCCATGATTGTCCTCTCCTGAGTACTGCCTGACACTGGATTTCTGGAAGAGGCACTACTGCTATTCTCAACACTGGATAGCTAATGAGAAGGGAGCGAGCTGCAAGACAATGTGTGTTTTTCTGATTGTGTTGGTAGGCGTTGGAGGTTGGTTGTTACAAATACTAGCCCAATTAGGACATGAAAAAGACCAGATGTAGACTTGTTCTGTTCGCTTGGCTTATAAACCATACTTTTTTAGCCAATAAATAATATTTTTTTCTCACAACAAATCAGCCAATAGCAGTGGCGAAGCTACAACAAATTTGAGAGGTGTGCGTTTGACTTTGTGGGTGCGAGGGTTTGCAATGTGTGGGTGCATATATGGTGGAAATTTAAATCTTATCACTGTTTTTCAAATTTTTTGTAGGTGCGGCTGCACCCACAGTGTTCAGTATAGCTCCGCCCATGGCCAACAGTACTTTCAACTGTAGCTTTTCAGGTAAACGAACAAGGCAATAAATATAATTATAGACAAGTAACTGTTATGAACGTCCACAAACCATCAGCCTGTTCGTTTGGCTGCGCTTATTCGTTTTGGTTCGTGAAGAAGCACTGCTGGCTGGTTTGGTGTGAGAGAAAAATACTGTTCCAACTGGAAATTTACGATCGTTTACGACAACCACAAGCCAACCGAGGATTGTACTATAAATATAATTCTTTTATACAAAAAAAATAACATATGTCAAGAGCAGCCTATGATAATTGATATAGAATATTTTTTTAGTAAATACATATGCAAACAGACCATGTGATATCTAGTCGTTGAATAGCTCCACGCAGGTTTTGGAGCCTAGCTCCTTCAACCACCAGATGGTCCCTCTAGTTATTATTTCATGATGAATGATGAATGGCTAGCTGCAGCTCTCCGATCGATGCACTGTTCCTGATTGTCGCGATGATGTAGAATCTGTCCATCGGGGCTGGGTCAATAATTCCGGTGCATGCATGCCATTTCGATCGGTTGGTCGTCTATGTCTTCATCAGTCACAACTCCATCAGCGGGCCCCATGATGTGGATCGGGCAACAACCGTGCAGGATTCATGAGTTTCCAGGGCCATGTTTAGTTACGAGCAGAATCGGCGCCGCCAAACTGGATCAATAATTCCGTAGCGTTTTGCATTTAGTAATAATTGTCGATCGTTGGTCGTCTATGTCTTCATCAGTCACAACTCCATCAGCGGGCCCCATGATGTGGATCGGGCAACAACCGTGCAGGATTCATGAGTTTCCAGGTTTGTGTGTGTTTGACCAAAGGTTGAATTCTCAGCTGACAAGCTCCTTCATTTGTTGCACGTGGTTCTATTTCTTTGAATTATCAAACTTTCAATAGTAATACCCTTTTGTTTTCACTATTGTATTTCTTATTATTTAATTTCTTCTCTATAAAACAAGGTATCACATGCATGGCATGTAGGCACCACACATCATGCTCATAGCATGTGGCAAAATTTGGCATGGTTGTAACGCAAACAATTTTTTCTGACTTTGGCCATATTTTGGTATGGCTTTGGACACTATACCTTAGCCCATCGTCGGCAAACAGTGTGGTACCTTAATACAATCTAACGGTGTGGGACATCGTCGGCAACGATGGTGCAAATAGTGATGAGCCATTTAAAAATTAAACTAGGCATGAATTGGACCAAGTAAAGTGGCTCGTCATTGCCGGCAATGACTACTAATCACTGCCGGGTGGTAAGACGAAGATCCATGTGGGAAACTAATACCCGACAGTGATGGAGCCTATCACTGTCGGTTAAGGTCACCACTCGGTAATGGTGTATCATTATCAGTTCCTTGTACGAGCCGATAGTGATAGGTACCATATCACTGCCCGGTGTGCTCTGTTACATTTTCCTTGCATGCAAAGCAGCCTAACAAGCAGGGGATATGGTGCTTGCTAGGGTTCAGAACACTGGACGGAGGAGAACACCATCCTCGCCCAAAAGTAGCACAGTTGCAGGTGTTTGGTTCCTGGTATTCTCTATTACGTTTTCCTTCCTTTCGAAGAAGAGGATGTGTATGTATATTGGTGCAGGTTACAAAGAGGAGGATTAACATACAGTGTTTGCATTGCAGGGTTCAGAAAAGCAGGGGACAACCTTGATGCGCCTGTTTGCGTTCCATGTCTGCTTGCGGTCTACTATTACAAAGGGCCTGTTCGCTTGTGTAAATTTTGGAGGAATTTGGATGGTTTGGAGGGATGCTGAAGGAATCTGTGACAGAAAAATACTGTTTTGGGTGAAAAAATAAGCGGATCAAACCAGGTTTAAGTGCACGCGAACAGGACCAAAACATTATGGTGCTGTTTGGTTTAGGAACGGTAGCGCAAACGCCAATGTAATCAGAAAGCAGTGCTAACGGTAACAAAGTAACAAATCACTGACTTTGTTTGGTTTCTTCTGCACTGTAACGTAAATGGAATCAGAAACTGCCCGGCGGCAAGTTGTCCGGCCAGTGCGAGAGCTCCCAGCAGTCCGGCGCTGAGCAAGAAACACAAGCCCACAGAACTGAAGACCATGACCGGCGCCACCACCGCGCAGCCAGCCTTGGGTTGAGATGCATCTGCGTCCGCGCTGCTGCCGCCCTAAGCCCATCAGCAGGTGTAGATCCGTCCTTGGAGATGAACGTGGCAGTAGTCTCGCCGCCGCCGTCCTTGCCAGGTGCGTGGGCTTCCTCCGCGCGCTCGCCTGTGGGGACGAGCCTGGGTGGAGGAGGGACGGACTGCGGAAGACTGGGTGGAGGAGAGACGACCGCGGCGATATTGACGAGTCGCCATGAAACGCCTCGCCGAGATGATAGAAAACGCCGAGTCGAAGACGATGGATGCGGGGTGTCGTGCTGGGCTATCCGGGTCGATTACGGAAGGTTGGCAGGCGTATCCGATTTGTATACTACGGTATCTGATTACAGGGGATCTGATTGCGGTTGAGGCTGAAACAAACAGAACTTAACGCAAACGGTTAACAGCGTAAATGGATTACGTTACATAGGACCGAACCAAACGCTATGTATGTTCATTACAATTCCGCGGCGGAACCTTGAGTAGTTTCACAAATATAGGAGCAAAACAATATGAAAACTAGTGCCTAAGGGCCTGTTCACTCGGCTTATCAGCTAGAATCTGTACGAATCTGTACAGGGTCTCTGTGTCTCACTGGAAATGAAATTTGGCCAAAGCAAGAGCAACCAGATGGTGGTACATAACTGAAAACCGAACTGAAATCTTCATACTAGAGATGATGTGCTTCCACCGATCCGATTCCATTCCCACAGCAAAGATGGCATATGGATAGCTGCATAAATAAAGTTTACTTCAGAATACCTACTAAGCGTTACGCTAGGGACTACAGGTGTGTTTGGTTTCGTGGCCAATTTTTAGCCTAGCTAGAATTCTAGTCTAGACAGTCTTTGCCAACCTCGGGACGTGCTGGTTTGTTTTAATATAGTCACATCTTCTCTTTGAGGCATTTCGTCGAGTGGTGGACATATCCTGGGGCAGTCCATCGACGCTCTCATCCTCTGGTGGTCCTGCCGAGCTGCTCATCTTCACCTGCAATAGCCTCCCAGTAGGACGTGACAAAGTCCAACAAACTGCTAGACCATTGCTTCAGCCTAGCAGCCAACTCCACAGGATGCAATTCTTGAACTGAAAGAAAGTCTGACACCTTTGACAGAGAGGTGTTCAGCATGACCGGATGACCCGGCGGCAGTAGCACACAGACAAACGCTGCAGCCATCAACATAACCAGAGCAAGGGGAGCAAGCAGGATCCTCATCGGTGATCTCTTCTTCTTGGGACGAGCTCGCGCGGGGCTCATAGCAGGTTCATGCTCAGGTATCAACACACCACCAGGTTGTGGGGACTCTTCTCCGGATACATCCTCCTCCGTGGTGGTTGCAGTGTCGACCTCCTCGCTTCTCCAGTCGGAGCAGAATCTGCCCTCGAGACCTCGTACCGCGCCGCCGCAATGACGGTAAATCTCGAGGCATTCTCAACCATCACGGCGGCCTCGTCGACTCTCGACTCCGAATGACCGGCGGGCAACGCGCGAGACGACCGGCCCAGCCGCGGGAGGAGGTGCGGACGCCCCGTCGAGCGAGAGCCGCAGACGCCTCGGCGCGCCCAGAGCCTCGTCGGGCTGCGGCGGATGCGGGGCCCTGGGCTTGCTGCTGTGCGCGAGATCGACTGCGAGAGCTCCGGCGGCCCGTCCTGCGAGAGCTCCTGCCCGGCGATGTGGAACAGGGGAAGCAATGGGAGGTGACACGAACAGCTGGGAGGGCTGGCCAGAGCCTGGCCACGAAAAAACGGCCACTGGAGCCAGGCTACGGGTTCAAAGTGGTTTGGTGGAGCCTGCCTTCGGTCTGTTTACAGTCAGCTGGAAGGTGACTTTTTGAATATAGTTGGAAGTTAGCCACTCAACTAAACACATCCTGACTGCACATGTAGGTGCATGCAATGTCTTGCCAGAGAAACCTGGATACGTATGTTTTTGCTCTGTTTCTGATCTAGCGGTATATCAATTAACCTTCATCTTTAGCGCAAAAAGTAAGTCACGGAGGAGTCAATGAAGACGACCGACCCAATTTTTTCAATCTGGCCCTCTTTTTTAAGGAATATTCACGCTTACATCCCTGGACGATGTAAATTGATCTTTGGACACTTGGGTCGGCGCCATAATCTTCGACGACGAGATAACACGTCTCGGCGCCATAGGTTTTGCCGCCGAGGTGCTTGGCACTTGTTGGCGTGGCAGTTGAGGTGGCGCTGATGTGGCAGTAGCTCAGAGCCACAGATCTTGCCGCGACCTCGGAGCCACAGATCTCGACGTCGAACTCAGAGCCACAGATCCCGACGCCAAGGTAATTTACCTAAACATGGCAGAAGCAAGCCACCTCTGTCTCTCCCTCTCTCGCGCGCTGACTCTCTCTCTCCTCTCTCTCCCATTGCCCGACTTGCCCG